AATCCGATCAGCCAAACTGTCCAATCAGAGCTGATCAGTAAAAATGGCCACTGCATTGCCCCTGATTACTGCATATCAATCAAGCTGACTGTTCACTATAGATTAATCAAGCCAGATCAGTGAAGATCAGTCAAACTGTCTGATCACTACAGATCAATCAAACTGCCTGTTCACTGTAGATCAATCTAGCTGCTTTATCGCTGCAAATGGGTTAAGCTGTCTAATCACTTCAGATCAGTCATGCTGCCTGATTACTGCAGATTAGTTAAGTTATTTGTCAACCCGTTCGATCACTGCAGATTAGTCAAGCTTGTATATCATTAAAGTATTTTTCAAGCGAACATTTTTGTTATGGAGTAATCTGTGAAGTTGGATTAGATTAAAATAGAACTCTACTTTATGATAAATTCATAATTGGATGGCCAAACAGCGATAAAGGCACTACCTCATTGCGTCTAAAAATGTTTTGAAATACTTGAAAGTCTTCCAAAGGTTAGGCGCTAACAGATGGTATCTATTGGATAACTGGTCATAAATTTTAATAGTGCTGTTCGATTGATACTTGAAAAAGAAAATGATAAAGAATTTTCTTATAAACCTACATAATAAAGTCGAAGAAGTCTTAAAAGATTGAGATGGGGTAAGAAGACGAGGTTTTACCTGGTGTGAGATTACAAAAGTCATGTGCATATCAAACGATTTCTACTAATTCTATTACGGAAAGGTTGCAAAACTCTTTAAGCTAAGCTATTTAGGAGTTCCTGATTTATTTTAGCACCACGAAAAAAATAAGTCCAATTAGTAACGAGAATATTTTCAAAGTCTGACTTATTTATTTTAATAAATAATATCAAGGATTTTTTGGTAATGACTCTTAAAAACTTTGTTATTATTTAGTAAACTAACAAATATAATAAATTTTATATAAATTCTAAAGGAAATAACTTTGTTTAAATTTGTAAAATTGTTAAAAAAACATTTTTGCATAAAAAAGTGATATGAAAAATTTGCGCACTTGCACAAAATCCGATGTTAAAATAGGGTAAAAAAAATATATTCCAACTGTTAAAGACCAAAATTTATGCTTGTGTGACGACAAAAATTTGCTTTTTATGTTCCTTTTTCTGTTCAAGAATTTCTTAAGAGAAATGCATTAATTTTTGCTTACACGCACACAATCAAAGTGAAATATTTATGCATGGAATTCCTGCATACGTGAACGACGAGTTTATTTGCAGCAGACGATGCGAGTGATTCCGAAGTGAATTGCAGCAAATAGAGTGGGTGTCAGTGGGGGTGTATCTGCCCGTGTTTATAATTTATGTGTGTATGCTACATACTCATGCATAGCCAACTATAGTTGTAGGGAGGAAGACAAAACAAAAATATTATTTATCAAAAAATCAACAGCGCTAGAGGAGGCAAAAGTGCGAAAATGCAGTAAAAGTGGCGCCGGAAGATCGCTTTGTCAATGTCATTGCCACACAAATACACATTCATGTACACATACATTTGCAAACTGACATTGTGACTTTATGCACTGACTGAGTGACTGATTTTTAGTTACTTTTACTTGCTTTATGCTCATTTCTTTGGATTCTTAACATTGCACACAAGTGCACGCATTTCGATTCCAAGGAGTTGGTGTATTTGGTGTAAACAAAAGAAGAAGAAGAAGCAGAATAAATCGTGGAAAAGTTTTTATTTTTAAATTAAAGTGTATATTAATTTTTAAATGGTTTAAGTTATGCGGGGGTTGTCTGTGTTATGCCATCTTGATTTTTTATGCATGTTCCAACATTTAGGATTGTTTATGAAAGATATTTGATTCGGTCGTTGAGATAAGTTTTTTGTTTATATTGAATAGATTTCATCTGGAATTCAGTTTTCTATTTAAGAAATTTAATCGCGTTCTTTAAGTTTATTGAAACTTATTAAAAATATGAAATTTAGTTATTGCATTAATATTTGCTATATACGTAAATTCTGAATAGTTATCACATATATGTGCTGAAGCCTTATTAAGTTTATTTAATCCTGCCCAACACGCGCTGCCATTCTACAATTCATAATCTATACAATAGTAGTTAAGTCTGATGGGTCCAGTCCAATGAAATCTCATAAGAACATGCTACGAGTCAAAAGGAGTTGTAGTAGTCTATGAAACCAGTCTTGCTGATCTGTAGGGTATGAGTGCAGTCTGACTATTTCAGTGTTGAGAACACCTCCTATACTCTATAAGGCAAGTCTTTCTATCTTTCTATCCAGTTAATTTGTAAATTTAGTCATGAGAATCAGTGGTGTCGCTAGGCGTCAGCGATGTCGGCGACCGCCGATGTCCTCGCGTCCACAGGGGCCTCGCAAAAAGTTACAGACTGTGGCAAAAAGTTAGTGGCATTAACCATATTCGAAGTGTTCCCGAATGTTTTTATAGTAACCAGATTCATGTTCACAGTTTCAGTCAGTATAGCTTCGACGGAAAGAAGCTTCTCAAAGTTAAAATTGATTAACACGTACTACAAAAGTATGAAGATCTAAGAGAGACTATCTCCATTGGAAATTCTATAAACTGAAGCAAAAATAGCAGCTGGCGCAAATTATGATATAATTTTAAAAAACTTTGAATGAGGCTAAAATTAGAAAAATTCATTTATTTTAATTTATGTTTACTTTAATTTGATTAGCAATAAAATTTCAATCATGCTTTGTCGTATTAGTGATAGGGTCTCGCAATTCTAATGTCGCCGTTGTGTAGAGTTGGTATAGCTCCGCCACTGATGAGAATGACTAGCAGCTCCTACTCCTACACTCATTATCATCAATTTTTTTAACTCATCTGTATATAATATCATACATATATTTAGAAATGAGTAAATTTGTTGGCAGTAATATTACATTATATCTTAATTTATTTTTATAATTAGGAGTCCTCCTAGACTTTTAAGTAGCAGTGCATTTTATTAAATATAGACGTTCTATATAATCTAGATATATAATCTAGATAAAATGCTGGAATTTAATACGCTTTGAAAAATAATTCAATATAAACACCAGATTTCTCATTCCTTGACATCACTTATATATTAACCAATTTTTTTATCTTAAACTATAGGTTTTCATTATTTTCACTTTAGTTTAAAATGTATAAATTACTTTTTATTTATTTTTTATTATTTGACAAAGGAAGGATAAAAAACTATATTTAGAATGTCACATTAACCACAAATAGGATGAGCTTAAATAAATTCCATTTGTAATAAAACACATTTTTAAAATTTTTTAGTAGATATTTTTTAATATTTTAATATTTAGTATTATATTTTTGTTTTGCTTTATTTAAACTTATTTTAATAATTATATATTACACAATCCTTTTAATACTTAAAAATAGCATTTTTAAATAAGTTTCGGAAGAGATATACTCACACAAGGCGAGTACTATGATACATTTTCATACGACTATGCACAATGAAAGATACATTTTTACTTTATTTTTTTTTTTGTTTTTATGAGAAAGACTGAAAATTAATTTTATTTATAATTAATTTTTGGTATATATGTTTTTGGTATTTTTTTTACGCTTACATAAAGTAACTTTAAATTGCATTTTATACATTTATTTAATTATATTATTTTTATTTTTTTTTATACTTTAATAGTCTTCATAAAATGTTTTTTTGCTTTTTGTTTTTCTACTTATTTCGAATATTTTTTTTTTATTTGGTTTCAATTATTCTTTTAGATAACTTCTATATAATTTTTTACTAAAATTAATATTAAAAATTTTCTTTTTTATCACAGAGAGACGTGACTTTCATATATAGAGACAACTCAAAAATTTAATATATTTTTGTTATATATAAATACAATATAATTTAATATACAAAATTAATTTAAATGAAAGTTTTTATAAAATAATAACAAAAAATAAAAAAAAAAATAAAAACAGCATATTTTGTAAGTTTAGCGTATATTGTTCATTTCATATTTGTATATATTTTCATATTTTTTTTTATATATAACATATAATTTATGTACAATCAATTTATTATTTAAATTCTTAGTTTCACTTAGTATTTGAATACTTCATATGACCGATGTGAGCGTTTTTCTTTTCCATATAATATATATATATATATATATATATATAATAATATATATATGTATGTAATCCTGTCTTATTTCTATATATT